TACCCTCATTTCAGAGCCAGGGAGGAGGAGATTGGATTAGCTAACCTCCTAAGGTCTTTCAGTTCTACACATCTACGAATCCAGGAAGGAAAACAATCCTGACGCCGAGAAACATCTAAGTGACTTGTTCAAGATCACAGCCGTGAAGCAGCAGAGAGGCGGAGGTTCCCCAGGTCAGGCTTTTTGGTAGCCAGCCCCTCTCAGCAACAGTGAGCTCCCCAAGGGAACAAGACACACCCACTGAAGTGAGGCCTCCCAGCACCATGAGAGGCTTCCCGAGAAGAACAGGATGGCAGCCATTCCCACCAGGCAGGGAGAAGTACAGGATGGCAGCCATTGCCACCAGGCAGGGAGAAGTACAGGATGGCAGCCATTCCCGCCAGGCAGGGAGAAATACAGGATGGCAGCCATTCCCACCAGGCAGGGAGAAGTACAGGATGGCAGCCATTCCCACCAGGCAGGGAGAAATACAGGATGGCAGCCATTCCCACCAGGCAGGGGTGCTTTCCAGGAGGAGGACACATCCACCAGGCAGGGAGGAAGGAGAGCCACAAGGGGAGAAGGAGGGCCACCGAGGCAGGGGGTCGGATGGCAGGAGGGAGAAAAAGAGGAGAAGGGGGCAGAGGAAAGAGGAAGGAAGAGGCCACAAGAGCAGGCAGGCCGGATGCTTGATGAGCTGAACGAACCCTGGCAGTCAGTGGAGGGCAAGATGCCAACCAGAGGGTCCTCATATCCTGCCCTAGAACACGAGGCTTCAGCCCACTTTGAGGCTGATCAAGATAAAGACTGCTGGCACATGAGAAGCATTTCGGGCAGCCTTCTCTGACATAATGTTTGGCTAGAGACTAGTCGCTGTTTTGTTTTTAATGGGGTATTGTAGTACTGAAGACTAATAAGTAGACAGTGAGGACAGGAGTTTTGTTTACAGGCTCTCCCCCAAAAGATTTGAGGGTTCAGACTCGAGAGAACTTTGAGTCAACTAGGAGTTTTCAAAGGCTCCACAGGAACACGACATTTGCATGCAACACCCTGCTCACTTTAACCCTAATCTTACCAGAGACATTTACTAGACGAACATCTCAGCAGACGAGTATCTTAGAGGCACTCTGCATTGTGGCTGAGCCACTGTGGCTTCGAGTCCCGGCTCTGCTACCCACCAGCTGGGTGACCCTGGCAGTTCCCTAACCTCTGTGTACATCGAGAAAACAGGCACGGAAATAACAGGACCTGCTTCATGGCGTTGTGGCTTACTCTACGTGGTAACGTACTCAAAACACACCATAAACTCACTGGCGATTATAATTTTGGCCAGCGTGGGGCATCTACCTAGGAATTGCACACACAAACAAACAGAAACAATAAAAAAATAGTTTTAGTTTTGCTGCCTTTTACCCCCTTCCTTATCAATGTCAAACATGAAGGAAGAGAGGTGATTTTGGCTATTTGACAAGTAATCGAAGCTATGAGGAGCTTTTCAAATTACTTTTTAGGAATTTTAAAACTGACTTGGGATGAATTGGCACCCAGCTCAAAGGACAGACTTTTCCTATCCTGAAAATCAGTAGAGACTGGGGTCCAAACCCAGTTCCGCCCTGCCTAGCACTGGACCTTATCTTACCTAACCTCTCCAAATCTCCATTCCCCAATCTGGGCAAATATAAGGTCGTTTGACCTTATAGGGCTATTGTGAGGCTGAGATTTTATAAAGTGTTAAAAAAACAAATGGTTCACAATGGTGTTGCTTTTTTTTTTTTTTGAAACAGGGTCTCCCTCTGCTGCTCAGGGCTGGGGTGCTGTGGTACAATCACGACTCGCTCCAGCCTAGACTTCCCAGGCTCAGGTGATTCTCCCACCTCAGCCTCCCAAGCAGCTGGGACTACAGATGCAAGCCATCACACACTCAGCTGATTTTGTTTGTTTGCTTGTTTGTATTTTCGATAGAAACAGGGTTTCGCCATGTTGCCCAGGCTGGTCTTAAACTCCTGGACTCAAGCAGTCCACCTGCCTCAGCCTCCCAAAGTGCTGTGATTACAGGCACGAGCCACCGCACCCGGTCCTGCCTTCATTTCCTCATCTTTAATTTTCTACAATACAAAAGCCTTTTTCCCTTCCATCTTCTGATAATCTGCTGTGTATACCTAATGGGAATTGGCACAGTATTTTGCCATACAGGAGACCGGAATGTACTGACAAGAAGAGCCATCATGGGGATGTGAAATAATAGAAACTGCTCTCCCAAAGCAGTCAGAATGGAGCCTGCACTGTTTAGACCAGAAACGTTCTTTTGCCAAAAATGACCAATGCGTATGAGATTGGAAAGAAATCTTGTCCCAGTAACCTCAGGGCACACACATTCCAAGTTACGTTAGTTCCCGAGGCATTGCACATATTTATAAATGTTCTTAGAAAAGGATTTCTAGGGGTAGCACCTTCCACTGATTCTGCAAAACAACATTCTTTTTTTCTTACAGATGGGAAAAACACGAAGCCTCGTTCCAAGTCACACAGTAATATGTGGAAAAGTTCTGGTTAAGGTTCTTAACTCACTGGCCTCCAGCAATCTACTTTGCCACGAACTAACCTTGTGATTTGGGGTAGTTCCTCCTGATCTCACGTAAACATGTTTACTGCAGCAGGATTCCTTGCCTGGGATGAATGCCCCTTCTAGGTCACTTTCATCCTATCTTCTGCTTCCCCCACTTTTCTGAAATTGCCTATGTTATCCTCTGGAGCCTCTACTCCTCCCCACCTTGTGTTCTCTCTCTCTCTCTCACTCCCACACACATACACACCCTGTGTTGTGCAACACAGCAGCCATCAGCCACAGTGACTATTGAGTACTTCAAATGCGGCTAGTCCAAAATGAGACGTGATTTAGGTATAAAATACATGCTATGCTTTGAATATATAAGTGATCTGGGGATCCCGAGATTTTTCCTTTCACAAAGACATAGTAAAAAACATGAAATCTTCCACGAATAATTTTATATATTGGTTACATGTTGAAACAATAGTTTTAATATATTGTTCGATAAAATATATTATTAAAATTAATTTCACCAGTTTATTTTTTAATGTGGCTCCTGAACATTTTAAGTTATATACATGGCTCGCATCATATTAGTGCTGGACAAGCGTTGATCTATACTGAAGGTTCTGTGAAGGATTTTTGGGTCACTTACCACCGCACTCCCTTTTCCTGCCTCCCCACCCACTAGCACAACACCTGGCTCATAGTATGTACATAATAAACAAGCGTTGAAGCAGAGAAGTCTCTAAATCTCTCTATACATATATTTCTTCATTTATACACTGTGAGTCTCTATTCACAAGATACTAAAAGTCAAGCAATTTATTACCCATTTTGAAAGGTAAAAAGTGTATGAATATTACTGCTTTTGTTGAAAAGCATGAAAATAACGTTGATCCCTTAGGCAACCATCTGTATTCCTAAATATATTTTTTGAATTGTATTACACAAATACTATAAATTTAATGCTGAAAACGGTGGAGAGTGAACAGCTCAAGGGGGAAAAACTGTAGAAATAACCAAAGGAAAGCTGAGATACCGCCGTCATCAATGGCAAGGCAAACGGAGCCCACAAACTTACGATGACCATCTTTATTGTTGTTTTAATTTAAAAAGCAGGAGACTCGTGGTGCGATGGATTCCAGTGCTCATGGGAATATAATACAAGTATTTAGCCGGAGAGAGTCTGTTTCCAAACTTGATCACTCGCCAAAAAAAAAAAAGTGAATACAATTCTGTTTACCAAAATACCTCAGTATTGGTATGCAAGCCCCAAACACACAATAGTTCTTTCACAAACTGAGTAACCAGGACACAATAAACATGACATGGGCACGGGAAAACTTAGGTTTTCCCTGGACTGACTCCCCACTGCATCTCCCCTTCCCTACCGGGAATCCGCATTTGCAACACTCCAGCCCAAACTCCCAAACCACTGCCGACCCCGTGTTGAGGGACACGGAAGAAAACACAGCCGCACTGCCATCCCCACGCAGAAAGTGTGGACGCCGACAGCGTGTAGAGCTGCGGGTGGGCGGAGCGCAAAGAAAAAGTGAAGCAGAAAGACGACTCATCCAATCCAGGACCATTCAAAGACCTGCAAAAAGCTACTGTCTGTGTTGTGGGCTCTGTAAAGTCTGGTGACTCCTTCCTTGAAACCAGCCCAGCACCAAGTAACAAAATCCTTAACCTTGTGGTTCACACGAACACACCCCGGCAACTCCCAGCCGCCGGGGCTGGCATCTGGCAGCGTCCGTGGACAGGAAAGGGATCCCACGGGCTGGGAAGGGAGGTGCGGGGCACAGCGAACCCAGGGTGGGGCCCAGACACTGACGGGACAAAGGGAGCAGCGCAGACGTTCTGGAAGGCCCCGTGGGGCAGGCCCCCAGCAACAGGTTGCCCTCGTCGCAGCGTCACACAACCTAACGCGCTCCGAACCTTTCCTCCGCTTCCCCCTTATCTAGAAGCAGCGCAGGGCTGAGGACTCTGCTAACTTCTCTGTCCACAGAAAAACTATCTGCGCCCACGGGCGGCCGCACAGACTCTGAGGGGAAAGAGGAAATGACAGCGGACGCCCGTTCGCTAACGATGTGGGGGGGTGACGCTTCCAGAGCGCAGTTCGGGAGCGAAGAGGAGGGAAAACAGAAACCACATCCATTCAGCTGCTCCCCCGGCGGAACGTGTCCAGGCTCTCGAAGCGCGCGGCTCGCTCCAGCCTCAGACACGCACCGGCTGCGAAGGCGGCGGCTCGGGCTGCCCACCCGGAAGCCGGGAGGGCGGGGCGGGCACCCTCCGAACCCCGATCCGCAGTCGCCGCCCCGGCGCGCCGCCCCTCCCTCCGCGCCCGTCCCCCCGCGGGCAGGGGCGCCCCGGGCTCCAGTCGCCGGGCAGCCAGGACGGGGGGCCGGCACCCGCCGCAGAGGAGGCTGCAGCGCGGAGCACACCCAGCGCGAACGCGGGGAGACGTTACCTTGTTCATCCCATTCCCCATGGTGGCTGAAGGCGAACCCTAGCGCCCCTGGCCGTGTGCTCGCGGCTCACTATGGCATGTTACGGGGAGGAGCGGCGGCGGCGGGCGGGGAGGAGGCGCGGGCGGGACTGAGTGCGCGCAGTGTCGACAAGTCGGCGGCGGGGACCGGCCGGGCCACCCGGCGCGCTCCCGAGGCCGGCGCGGAAGGCTGGGCTTTCCGTCCGCGGCCTGGAACTTCCCGGCGGGAGCAGCGCAGGGGCCCCGGAGCCTGTGCCGGGCAGTGGTCCCGCCTGGCCGGTCCCCGCCCCGTGCGCACCGGGCAGGCCCAGCGTCCCTCCTCGGTCCGCCCGCCCGCACCCTGGGACTTGTAGTCGGGTTCCCGCTCCGCCTTCGCGGACCCCGGCTCGCGGCCGCCGGGCGGGGGAGGCTCGGCCTCGGGCTCTCGGGCGGCCCCAAGCCCACGGCGCGTGCGCGGCCCGAGCCGCCCGCGGGGCGCCCGAGCCCGGGGGCGGGGCCTGGCGGACGCGCAGGCGCTGCCCTGACCCGGCGGCTGCGCTGGTCTCGAGCCCGCTCCAAGGTCGGGGGTGCCCAGAGCCCCTTGGCCTTTTCCCCCGGGGCGACTCCGGGGGCCGGTTACCAGCAGTCGCTAGCCTGCCTTGGCTGCCTCCGTGAATCAGGTGCTAATCAGAGGCCTGGTCTCTGGGGGCTCCCCTGCCTGGGTTTTCTGAGGGCGACAGATTTAGGCCGGGGGATTTCCTGCGGCCCTGCCCGGTGCACCAAGACGAGAAGGCTCGCGGGTGGGGAGAGGTGGGCTACGTGACTCACCCCCGGGAGGCCTGACCTCCCTACGCTGGGGGAGCAGATGGCTGGATCTCTGACCGCAGACCCCACGGCCTTGGACGATGTGTGCCCCTGAATGTCTGCATCGTGCTTCCGTCTGGAACGGATCAATTTCTAACCTGTAGCAGAATTGTTCTGGGCATTCTATCAACGTTCGTAAATTCTAAGTTTCTCTCCGGGGACAGAATCCTTGAGCCAGTATTTTTTCTTTTTAATGTATGTATCCTCAACAATGTCCTGAACATAGTAGGTGCTTAATAAATATTTGCTGAATGAGTACATGCATCAATCTGATGTGTCCTGGCTCACTCCTGCTGACCTCATTTTATCTTCTTGCTGAGCGAGTTACAGACATGCTGGTCTCCTGTGTGTTCCTTGAACCTGTCAGGCTTGCTGGGCTGTGCTCACTATCCAGACACCTGGATCCCCAGGTCTCTGCATAGCTGCCTCTTATCTCTGAGGTATCGGCCCAAATGCCATCTCTCCTAAGAGGCTTTTCCTAACCACCCAGTTCCAGGTGGGTCCTCCAGTCACTGTCATATTACTCAGTATTATTGATCGGAAAATATATGTATTTGCTTTCTTTTTATCTGTCTCACTCACCAGCAACTTTCAGATTAAAAAAAAAAAAAAAAAAGTTGTCTTATTCAATACTACAGCCATGTGGCCTGGGACAGAATCTAGCACAAAATAGTGATTTTGTAAATATCTGTGAAATAAATTAATAATTTCTTGTGGCTGAGAAAACAGGTGAAGTTCTGATCTGTCCTTGTACACCATATCTTCTGGGCAAGAAATGGTATCAAAACCCTCCGTGTAGAAAGCCCTCACTCAGTATGGGCTTGCCTGTTTTCTGTGGGTAGGATGGGACCAGACCCAGAGTGCCCTTTCTGCCTCTTGTTTTGGGAGCGTGTTCCTTCTTCACTGCCTTCACTTCCTCTTCTCCCGCCTGCTTCTCAGTCACCTGGACAGCCTGCTTTCCCCTCTGCCACACACTGCCATTAAGTAACTGTTTTTACCGCCTTCCTGCTTAGAGACAACACAGAATAGTTAGTGGACTGCCTGGGGAATCCCGTAATCAGCCTCTATTTCTGATTCTTAAGGAGGTCTTGAGCAAGATGATCAACTTTTCTGATCTAGCTTTTTTTTTTCCTCTCTTTAAAACAAGACCATTAAACTGTGAATTTTTGAAGCTTCTATCCAGCAACCAATGAATTACTTCTGCAGCCCTCTGCCCTCCTTGGGCTGTTCATCCAACAGTCAGATGAATGTTTAAGAACGCAACCAGTTCATAAACTGGTACTTGACCATGAATGACAAATTCATACCGATTTTTTTCTTCTGTCATCTGCTTGGAATATTTCTTCTCTTATTCATACTCTTCTTATAGATATATTTCTCCAGCTTGGACCATGTGCTTGCCAATTCCTCCTAAACTCAGAACCTGCCATGGCTTCCTCCTTACAGTCAAAATCAGCATTCAGTATGGTCCTAAAAGGTCCACATGCCCAGAGTTGCTATCAAAATCTCAAATTTTTCTTTTTGGTTAAATGAGAAAAGAGGAGACTGTTAACACCAGAAGTCAGACGAGGAAGATTTTTTTTAAAAAATGTATTGGTTTTGGCTGGGCATGGTGGCTCACGCCTGCAATCCCAGCACTTTGGGAGGCCGAGGTGGGTGGATCACCTAAGGTCAGCAGTTCTCGACCAGCCTGGCCAACATGGCAGAATCCTGTCTCTACTAAAAATACAAAAATTAGCCAGGCTTGGTGGGGTGTTCCTGTAATCCCAGCTACTCAGGAGGCTGAGGCAGGAGTATTGCTGGAACCCAGGAGGCAGAGGCTGCAGTGAGCCAAGACTGTGCCACTGCACTTCTGTGTGGGCAACAGAGCAAGACTCCGTCTCAAAAAAAAAAAAAAAAGTTACTGATTTTGTGGGGTTCGGGAGTTTCCCACAAGAGACTCCCTGTACTCTCCTCCACCCTAACCCTGGAACACCTCTCTTTATTATAATAATAATTCCCGATGTTCACGTCTTGTAGTTCTATAACTTTTACTCTCTAGCTCTTGATTATGGAAAGAAAGGAAGAGAGGAAACTCTTCAACAAAGCCGACATTTTTCACATCCAAAGTAGAATCTTTATTCATTTGTGCTTTATCTCTCTCATAAAAATTTTAAGGCATCACAAGCCCAGTGGATTTTCACACTACGTAAGATTTTTACTTCCACTTTTCTTCTTGTTATTTTCTTCCTCTCAGTACTATCAACATCACAAATTTTGGCAACAACTCCAAAACAGGTAAAGCCTTCATGTGTGCACAATGAGGAATGGTCTACAAAGTGTGTAGGACAGCTGAGTCCGTACTTACACATGGTTAAGGATAACTGGTTAATGGTGTGTTTAGTGAGCAGTAACCTTAAACTTTAAGGTGGCGGTGTATAAAAGCCCACAAACAGAAGCTCAACCATTAGAGTTAGCCAAATCATTGTAGGTGTTAGTGATAATTTCAGAGCATTGAGATTAACCTCTACCCAACAGAGAAGTAATTATGTAATCTTCATTGGCCTCTTGAACATATTGCAGTCCAGGGTTTCTCAACTTCGGCAAAACTGACTTTTGAGGCTGGATAAATTTTTGTTCTAGAAGGCTGTCCTGTGCACTGCAGCATATTCAGAAGCATCCCTGACTTCTGCTCATTGCATTCTAGTAGCACCCTCTCAGTCATGACAGTCAGAAATGTCTCCAACCCCCTCTCTTCAATAACCCGCTAAATCTACACTAATAGATCGTGTTAGTTCTCTGCAGAATTCTTATTTTTTTAATTTTTTTTTGAGACGGAGTCTCGCTCTGTCGCCCAGGCTGGAGTGCAGTGGCCGGATCTCAGCTCACTACAAGCTCCGCCTCCCGGGTTGCCGCCGTTCTCCTGCCTCAGCCTCCTGAGTAGCTGGCACTACAGGCGCCCGCCACCTCGCCCGGCTAGTTTTTGTATTTTTTAGTAGAGATGGGGTGTCACCATGTTAACCAGGATGGTCTCGATCTCCTGACCTTGGGATCTGCCCATCTCGGCCTCCCAAAGTGCTGGGATTACAGGCTTGAGCCAGCGCACCCGGCCTCTGCAGAATTCTTAAGCCACAATTGTTCATTATTAACAAATTCAGAGCAAGAAGCTAAAATGAGGAGCTAATCTAGCCAAAGCATGACTGAAAGTAAAAGAAAGCTAGAATCTGATGAATTGTGGAAAGAAGAAAAAAGGTGGAACCTGGAATTATGGAAGCAAAAGCGCAAAACATTTTCTCTGTTTCTCCAGCACTGTCCAGACAGAGGCGGCCCAGTTGAATACCTGAGTTCTCAGGGCCTTGCAGAGCAGCCTGACCATGAGGATGGGCCCCTGTGGTGTACGACCTCAGCTCTTCAAAGCAGTCTTCTGATTACGAACATGGTTTTCTCCTTTCACTTAAGAGATTTGGGGGGCTCAGATCTCAGCACAGATATCTGGAGAGTGTGGGGTCAGGGAAGAGCAGCAAGAGGAATGGATGTCCAGGTAAGTGAGCAGGAGGGCAGAGAATCTGGGAGAGGTAAAGGGAAAATGTTGTCAGGCATTTAGTTGGGAGTCAACAAAAGTCTGTGGACAGAGTTCCTGGGAGGATTGGCAGAGGCTTGCAGGAATGAAGTTATCAGGCAGATTATAAAACAGTGTCAAGCAAAGGGGAAATAAGACAGAGCCCTGGTTCCTAAAACTTGGAGGTCACATTATTATCAGCCTGCAGGTCAGAACATGTATGCCTGTGTATTCTCAGGACAACTATTGTTTTCCCCCAAATGGTAGCTGCCTGAGGGCAGGGACCAGTTGTTAATCAGTCTTAGTGTCCAGCATCTAAAATAGTTCCTAGTGTGAGGGGAGCCATGTAGATGTTTGTCCATTTAGGAAAGAAACACATCTGGGAGGCCGCTGAATTTGTCCAGGCATAAGGATCACAAATAATTCATCCTTTGATATGCCAGAGACTCCATCAATGCTGCCATCTCCTCATGTTTCCTTTTCTTGAGCAATGTAGTTTCCATGTGAGACGGCTCTCTAGGAGAAACCAGAATCCTGTTGTCTTTTGTTTCTGAAACAGACATAGGGCACACTCAACAGAGAGAGAGAGAAGAGAGAGAGAAGAGAAGATGAGACGAGAGAGAGAAGAGAGAGAGAGAGAGAAGATGAGAAGGGAAGAGAGAGGAGAGAGAAGATGAGACGAGAGAGAGAGAGAAGAGGAGAAGGGAAGAGAGAGGAGAGAGAAGATGAGGAGAGGAGAGAGAGGAGGGAGCCCTCGC